TTAAATGGTCCTACTGCTTGAACAAGGTGATGGAAAACCCATTTCTAGGCTGTGCCTGATCACTGCAGCTCGGTAGGACAGCAGTAAAAGCTTAATAGGTTGACCCTGCCAAACCAGCCACCACAGAAAAATCCAACGGCTGGTGAAGACTTGGTGTCACTGTGTCAGTGCACTGGAATCTGGAAAAGCCATGCTGCTAGTCAGAGGTTCTGCCAGCTTCAAAAATGGTATTTTAACCTATTTTAAACCTTTTATAGCTTTATTCTTGTGCACAATGCATTTTCCAGGCAGTGTTTTGGCTGTAAGCAGCTGGTGTGAAAGCTTTTGAGAGCACTGAAACCTGAGGCTCTGACCGATCTTTCTTCACCCCCTGTCCTCGGTGCCAGGTTTCCACACAGGAACGAGGTTATCGGCGCAGGCAGCCACTGCCGGAGAGTGACCGGGTGCAGCAGAATTGAGGGACAGGCATTGCCCAGCCATGGGCGTTTGCTGTATGTGGCCATTAAATATGACTAAAGCAAGGCACGTTAGATGCCTCTGCAGTGATAACCCACAAAAATGGAGGCCTCTTATCCCAAAGGTTTACTCAAGCTTTCTATTGAAAATAACACATGGAGACCTTTCTCTTACCATCAAAATTTGGGTACTTCTCAACTGAAACGGTGCCGTATTGCGCAGTGCTTTAGGTGGAGAGGTGAGCAACGCTGCATCTTACATGGGCTCTGGGGAGTATCCTAGGTAACCTGCGATCCTTGGATGTGAAATCCAGTGCTGGGGTTCACAGTTTTCTTTCTGTGATGTGCGCTGGTCATCTGCTGTGCCTCAGACAAGGATTAATCTGCCGTGAGGCCGTCACAGCGCGAGTGTCTGCGCGACCGCCCTGGTTGTGCTCTTTTGTGCCTGTTTTCTGCTAATTTGCTACTCTCCCCTCTTTCTGAAGAGGAGGGATGATGCCCTTTCTCTGCTTGTAAAAGTGCGGCTTGGGACTGAGTGGTGCTGGAATGCTTGTCATCCCTTGGGAATAGTTGTCCAATTCCATCTACGGGCTGCTTTTGGAAAATGTTCTTGACTTTGGAATGCATTTGCCAATTGTGTTTAAGACCATTGCGTGCTTGCAGTGCAAGAGGTTTTCCCACTTTGTATCACCAGTGCTATTCCCTAGACACTACTAAACTGCCATCAGTTTCCACAAAGCATCTTATCCCTTTCCGAGGAGATCAGCCAGGTACCAGCTCCTTTTTAACTTGTTTCCTCTCCCTGTAAAGGAATCAGCACTTCCTTTATTATGCTGTCCTGGTATTGTTTGTGCGTATATGCATATATTTTAATAAGCTCTCTAGTTATAATGCAATACAAATTGTCACTTGGCTGAGAGAAAGGGAGCTTTGTGGCTGTTCGTAACGTGCCTCGTGGCATTTCAGAGCCTTGGGGAAAAGCACCGGTGTTTCAGACCTTCAGTGGTGCCCGACGTGACAGGCCTCAGCAGGGCCCTTCTCAGGGCAGCAGGGGAGGATGTTCAGAGAAGGGGATTTTTTCCACGCTGTTGCTTAGTTGATATTAGCGCTTGAAGGCGCATAAGGCATGACCTTTAGTCCGGTGTGTAGGCTAACGGAGCGGCTTTCTTCAGTGCCGCATTGTGGGGATGCCGACGGCGCGGCGCACCGGGGAGAGATGTCGTGTGTCCCCAGGGCCTGCGCCGCGCCTG